CCCCAAAACCCCAAAACCCCAAAACCCCAAAACCCCGTAGATATTATATCAAATAAATTGTTAGCGAATGCAAGGAGCATATGTGAAGAGGATTAATGCCTCTCCTAGCCTACATATTAGGAGTAATTCTAATAGACTTAAGAAACCAATTAAATTAAAGGAGTATGATTACAGTATCGATTTGCAAGGGAATTATCTAAATTTTGGCCAACCATCTTGCTTCCACCATGTTTCCAAAGAACATCCCAAGAATAGTATTTGACAGAATATTGATGTGGGTAGAGACTCTTCCAGATCAGTGACAAGAGATATCAATCATAGAAGTATTTCACCACTTTCGAAGGAAAGAGAGGTATGGCTTGTCCAATTTTTCAGAATCGTTATCCAAAATATTTCCCTTCTCTTTAGTACTAAGAAAGTAGCTGTATTCCTATATCAAATACTCGAATTACTTAATCTAAATTTCAGAGAGGAAGTGCAATGAAGTTGAGAAAGACAGTAAAGAGCTCACATAATGTTGGCAGACTGAAACTTAATAGGTATTTTTATGCTGATTTTGCCAGAGTCCCAATTGCTAAGCCACAGACTTCTTATCATAAGAGTTTTAAAAGTTTTCATAAGTCTCATAAGAGAGTATCGTATTATGATACAAATGCTGGAAGTGCATATTTTGGAAATACAAGTAAGCTGGGAAGGCTCATTTTTAGTCAAAGATAAGCAACATTTGGATTTCAATGAACTCATTGATGGCCAAGAGGAGAAGTAAAGATTTTATTTCACACCTTTTTATTGCCTTTTTGATTTTAGCGGGGTAGAATGGTGTTTAAGTGGAGTTTATAGCAATTTTGTGACAATGAAGGTTAATAACAATGTTAAAAATAATTTGGTGCCGAATAATTATCGCAGTGAGTGAGAGGAAAATAAAATTAAAGTAAGTATTGGCTTGTTGTATTTAATATGACTTGTTTAAACATATAATAACATTTTTAACTTGTCTTCTACAGAATAATTCAAACCAAGCTCCTAAAATTAGCAAACAAAGAAATCCTAGCTTATTAAAGACCAAATATGCCCGTAAGAACAAATCTGTGCTGTTACGTAGGAAACACTGGAACACTTCTTCTAAGAAGGGCAAAAGGTCTGATTCTCCTTTGAACTTGAGCAAGAAGGAGTTTGGGCAGGAATACAGAGCTGTGTTGGATAAACTATTAGAGCCTAAACTGCCTAACAACAGGGAGCTTAAGTGCGATCCTTCGTATGAATACGCTCAAAGAGCAATGAAGCTGAGGGTAATGAAGCTGAGGGTAATGAAGAAGGTTGACTTAATCCAGAATAAGGGATTCCTGAAACTCATGAGGAGGAAAACAACCCTTGCTGATATCAGGATGATCTTGGCCATAATGAATAACAAGGGTAAGAGGAAGTTCTCTATGCTTGAAGTTGACTATAATTTGGGGATTAAATAAGTCCATGGTGAAGAGAGTGAAATTTTGGGTGTATTTGAGGTAAGAAAATATTGATTTTTAGCCTTTTTTTAATTGTTTTTATTTAGAAATCAACTTGTTTCACAAAAATAGGGGTTTTGGGGTTTTGGGGTTTTGGGG